AACGAGAATCAACTCAAGATACTGTGGTGGAGCAATTGGGATGTGTGTTGCACACCCTGATATTCTCATATGATAACTTGTTGGTTTGATGCGAACCAATACTATCACTTGCTAGCTAGAACTAATACTATCACTTGCGAGCTAGCATGTCCTCGATAAGAGACTGAAAGGTTCACCTTGTTCTCTTAAGCAAAGTGATGTTTGATTGGATAACCATCAAAATGTATTCATACTGAGGCAACCAATCTAGCAAACATCAGGTTGCGATTAGATAAAATACATGTGATCATCCATTTGATGTAGCAACCCATAAAATTCACAAATGATCCACAAGACTGATGTATTGTTCTGCATACATGACCATAAAATCTCAAGAGATTGCCAACTCTTTTACAAGCGATGATCAATTGTTCTATTCTTCTTGAGAACAAGCATGACATAATAAGTTTGTTTAGTTGAAGAATTCTTTGGCTTCTCATATGATGTTCTCATGAAGTCTCAAATAACTTTTTTCCACATCAAGATCCAGGATGGTTTAACCAGACCAACCAAATTACCAAGTTATCAAATCTTGTAAACTTCCAGTTTACACTTTTATGTGTAATGATAGTACTAATATCACATAAAACATTAGCTCTTTTGGAGCTTTTAAATACTTTGATACTAAATTTTGCCCTCCTTAACCTTTTGACTTAGTGTGTTATTAGTAGGCACATATCCATAGTGATAAAAATATCATTACATTATTTGTTATCACCCATACATAATTTAGTCACTTCAAGTAATCAAAACATAAGCTCTTCGAAAGATTTTACTTACTTTTGTAGTACGTGATATTATACGATTTTTTTTTTGTGTATATATCCATGCTTCATATGAACATATATACTAAAAAAAAGGAGAATATCTCTATGTTAAGATATAAGTAATGAAGTAATTATTTATTTATTAATAAAATAAAAGAATTTTTTGTGCAATAAAGCATAATAATAATAACAAGAATTAATTTTGAAATCAATCAATTTTGAAACTTAAATAGGATTTATTTGAAATATGACCATCACCAACTAGGTGACTACATTTACCTTTAGGGTTGATAGAGAAATGTACATGTGTTTCATTTCACATTTCACCGTATGATAGGTACAAAATATTATCAGGACTTTCACTACTGGAAAAGTCATGATTAACATTCTCATTTGTAATTTTTTCATTTCTCTTTCTCACTTCTAGTGAAAATATACCAACTTATAATATAAAAAAAATATTTTTCATAGTATTGATATTGCAGGAGCATATATGAATTCGCTTTTCCATTTGATTATTGGTAGAATAAAGTCTTTTGCGTACAACAGGTACGAGGCAAGCACATTTTTTTCATTATAATGGTAACATACATAACCAATATTTTTGTTACCGTGTCCACTTCTTTCTTTGCCATTGGATTCTTCAATTTTCACTTGTAGAGAAAATATGGGCTCTTAGAACTTGCATTTTCTACATATCAATGTAGGAATGATAAAAAGATGATAACACGGAGAACTAAGATATTAACTAATCACATAAATTACTTTCTTGTTATTACTACTACATGTGCAAATTTTAATTTGAGATGATTTCAAAATACAAATATAATTTTAAGGAATCGATATATGTATCGTAAAAATACAGAATAATATAAATCAAATTACACAACCCAAAAATTTTATTCAAACAGATGTACGTGATAAAATATCAATGGATGGTCTACTACGAGAAAAGAGCAGCATCCATCTTGATATATTGAAATGCGATAATCTCAACACAAATAAGACAATAAGATAAGAAAGAAGATGGAGATTTGCATACCTTGATCATATTGTGATCTCACTCCAATATATTAAATTGTGTAGAGAGAGAATGACCAATCTTAATTTTAGCAGTGTTTCGTGCTGTTAACGTGTTAAGAAAATACAAGAGGATATTAGAGGGGAAAGACGAGAGGGGGAATATAGCTTTCTTATCCATTCTTCACTTTTGATACAATTGTGTGATCTATTTATAGGCACGCTTTGGTAACCACAAAATCATTATAACAATACATCTGAATGAGAGATAATGAAATATAAAGGAGATTTCAATTGTAGGAATAGAGGTTACATGTACCTCTCAAATAAGCATATAATGTGGTAGGTCATTGGTCAATTATATATCTATATTTACATAATACTTGTTAATTAGTTATATTTATTTATAAGGAAGCCTTGCCAAGGAAGCCATCCATACATCTATTCTGTAATTATCAATTAATGATGAGCTAATCAAAATCTACCGATTATATAATACATATACTACTTAATTAACTAATTATGTTGTCTTGTTCGGCAAAGCAATGATCTTTTTTTCTAGGAACAGGAACTCACTTACTCTGCTGACTTTTCTTTTGCCTGTTGGCCCCTTCTTTGGTTTTCCTCGGAATAAAACTCGTTTGTTATTTATGTGATTAGTTATCATCCACGTATCTCGTACTCTCACCATTTCCTTTGTGTTCACTTTAAAAGTCCATATCTCATGGAAATGCAAAGACTTAGAGGGAACAAAAGTACAAAGCTTAATTGATGCGTCTCATTTGGCAATTGGGTTTAGATGGATTGTTCTCTCGCTAGTTAGCTCATTCTTGGCTTTGATCACATTCCTGGCCCGATCCGTCGTGACTCGATTTTTATTGATTTATTTGAGGCAGGTATTACCCAACTTGTAGTAGCGTGGAGTGGAATATGAGTATTGCTTCCAATCGGTCCTGTCCGTTCTCCACCCGTCCTATCACGAGTTGGATCAATATTTACTTATATTTTTCATCTTTTTGACCTTTCAAAAATCATATTTCATCACAAATAAATTTCAAAACTCTGTCTTTCAACTATTTAGAATCAATTATTCATTGTATTATATTTCTCATTTATTTATGAAGTGTTTCCTCCGTGTCTAGTTTTAAAATAGTTAAATATCAACGTTCTTTTCCAAAATAACATATAAGAATGGATCGACTCACCTCGCTCTGTACCCTCATAGGTATTATCCGATCTGATCCACGCTTAGTGTGAGGTGGGTATGAGTACTGAGGTACCCACTCCGCCCCGTTTCCATTACTACACCCAACTGGTACTTTCATTATGGCCCTATGGGTCAGCTCACTATTCACGTACGAAAATTATTTTGTCACGCTACTTAATCAATTATTCACACAAATTTATTTACATAACTTATTTTTCCATTAACTCATCAAAGTGCTTGAAAAATTGTAATGTAGAAGATATTGATGAGATTGCTTGAAAAGATAGATTATGGACGTGAATATAGATAAATCTATATTAATAATTTGTAGAATTACGTGAAAACATAACTTTAGTGTGTGAATAGGGGAGAAAAAAACGATCTTGCCTCTCAATGTTAGTCTTTGTAGTGGAAAGTTTTGACTATTCTCCATGTTGCAGTATAACTCATCTATTATGTTGATCACACTCACCAGCCTTATATCTAACACTCCACTTATACGTCAATGTTATTCTTTGTAGTTGGGAATTTTACTCATAATTATCGGGAGTAGATCAGGTCAGTAACCCCTTCTCCGATCCCCACGTGTCAGCTTCCTTTTTTATTTAAATTAAATGTAAAAGGGCAGGAAGGTAAATTTGTATTTACCCTTATTTATTGTTGACGCTGACTTTTGACCATACCATATCAGCGCCTCCTTCTCTCTACTCGAAAACCCTTTAATTTTCTTTCCCTTAATCTTTAACGGACGATTTCTCACTCGTTTTAAGTCAGAATTTAATTTTTTTTACACAGTTAGATCAGATTAATTGTGCTCTTCAAAATGATATCCACTTTGATATTTTTTGGACATAAAAAAATTTGTCAGTTATTACAAGTCAATTCCATATGGTATTGACTGGTATTAAATAAGACCATACCATATGGTATGAAAAATTTGCCACATCAATATATGTTTCGTTACCACCCAATACCATATGGTATAGTGTGGTAATATCAATATATATTTGGTAATACCACCCAATACCATATGGTATAGTATGGTAATATCAATATATATTTCGTTACCACACAATACCATATGGTATATTGTGGTAATATCACACAATACCATACAATACCATATGGTATAGTGTGGTAATATCAATATATATTTCGTTACCACACAATACTATACATTACCATATGGTATAGTGTGGTAATATCAATATATATTTTGTTTCCACCCAATACCATATGGTATAGTGTGGTAATACCAATATATATTTCGTTACCACACAATACCATATGGTATAGTGTGGTAATATCACACAATACTATATGGTATAATGCGGTAATATCAATATATATTTCGTTATTACACTATACCATATGGTATAGTTTGGTAATATCTATATATTTCGTTACCACACAATACCGTATAGTATAGCATGTTAATATCAATATATATTACCTAAAAGAAAAAAAAAACAGAAAGAGGGAGAGGGGAAAAAAAACTCGTCTTCTATTTCGTCTCATTTCCTCCGCAATCAAGAACACCAAACGCCAAAAAAGGGAGAAAGACCGAAATTGAGGCCAACGAGTTGATGAAGAGACAAAAACGCAATGAAAGAGGGTGGCTGCAATTTTTCTTCGTCGATTGCTGGAGAGAAAAAAATGAAAAAAGAAGAGAAGGAAGCAGATCTAGATATGGAGAAAGAGATTGGAGAGAAAAAAAGGAACAGAGAAAGAGAAATGATAGATTGCGAGAGAAAAAGGAAGGGAGAAAGAGAAAAGAGAGTTGCAGAGAAATGATTCTCTCTCCTCCTTTGAAAAGGCAGCCATTAAGAGTGGTCTCCTTTTTTTTTTTTTTTAAAAAGCGGCCATTAAACTTGGAATATATAAAAATAAAAATTCATAAACGGACAAAAATGCCCTTCTGGACCCCGCATTCAGCCCAGCCGCATGATTGATCCGCCCCTAAATCTACGGTGTGCATGCATTTACTGATAGGTCAGTAACCATTGGTTACTGACTCTATCCCAGACCATAATTATCTAAGAAGACCATCCTGGCATACAATACTAATGTCGCATATTTGCAAATGTCTAACACCTCTGAGATCTCCAAACTAAAACTAATTAGTAAAAAACAATACATGCTTAGACTTCTCGCCACAAAAGAAACATAATGTCCAAACTAAAATGTGAACAAAAATAGAGGAGTTACCACTTCCCAGTTCTGCTAAATTCGATAAATAAAATGCATACGAAATTACAACAATCTTATTCTTATTCCTGCTCACAATCAATATACACTACTCCATTATGTATACCCCCAATCCCCTGATTCTTATGACATTACCAAACCCAATCCACCTAAAACTATATCTGCTATTTATATGTCCAATCATCATCATCAAAACTTGCAAAATTAATATACAAATCTTTATCCAAATCAATATACTCATCCTCCCCCTACCCTGTCTATGAACTCAAATGGTTCTACTGCTCCACCCAAAGTATAAAGCACCTATACTAGAACGTAAAAAAAGCGATCTGCTTTTCCACCTCCATTGCAGGCAGCTTCTTTCACCAATAACCATCATGCATGTCATAAATACCATGCACTTCCTTACCTATCCCCAAGTGCCTTTTCTGCTTCACCGGCGGCCGATTCAGGTCACAAAGTCCGGCAGAAGCTGCGCCGCAAACCCCTTCCTGTTCTGAATATTGATGCTCTCAAACGTCATCGACGACGAGTGGGGCGCGGTGGTGGTGATAGCCCCAAACTCGTTCGTTTCTCCCAGGTCGAGCCTCCTCCCCAGAGGAATGCTCTGGTTGGGGAGAAATGTGTGGTGGGTAGCTGGCAGCGCGAGGTTTTCACAGTGTGGAAGGCCGAGACTGAGTGAGACTCCATTGCCGGAGGAGAATCTCTGAGTGAACTGATCGGCGTTGAATCTTTCAATCTCTGCAATTGGGTACTGCCCGAAAGCTGCTCCCATGAAGTTTGTCTGTGCGCCCATGAACGAGTAACCCCCATGATCCCTGCTCTGCCTCTCGTCCACAAACTTGATCAGGTGGTCGTCGCTCGAATCATGGCCGGGCTTCACATCCATGGTGGACACCACGCTGGTGGGGGATGGCAACGGCAGCAGATCGATGTGGTGGTTTCTTGGCTTCTTGGGGGAACCCTGAGTGATCCCTTCAAGCTCTGATGATGCTGTGAGGGAGAAAGCTGAGTGCTGGTTTCGGAGGATGCCGGCGGTGGCAGCAGGGGAAGTTGAAGCTCCCGTGGAGATTGAGATTCCGGAGGGAACATGCTGGTTTGGTGAGTTGTTGTTGAAGGAGCTTCTGATTTGAGTCTCGTGGAATGAAACAGATTTGGAAGACGAATCCTCGTTGTTGTTGTTGTGATCGGTTTTGGTGGCCTTCTCCCCTGCTGTCCCGTTCAGTTCCTGGTCCTTCATTTCTTCCATGTACATCTCCTCCACCATTGGCTTCCACAGCCGGACTCGAGCGTTGATGAACCAATTAGAAACCTGTCGTACAGAAATTTTGTTTATCAGAAGCATTTCCACAAACACCTAGCGAGCATTCTTTTTCATTTGCAGAAATTTCTCAGAGTCATTTCCACAAACACCTTGCCCGCAACGATAAAATCTTTCAGTACATAAAGTGAAATCAAAGAAACAAACCTGACTCCTGGTAAGCCCCGTTTGTTTGGCCAGCATATGCTTGTCAGAATCCTTAGGATATCTGAAAATTCATACCAAGAAGAACAACAACTATTTCACTCTTCGGAAAAACACTGAAACAGAGTTTTCGATTTACAAAGAGTGGGGAATCGTAATTCTTACGGATGGAGGAAGTGCTCGAAGAGCCAAGCTCGGAGAATGGAAACGGATCTCTCCGGCAGGCCTCTCTGGGGTCTCCAAGCATTGTGCTGGATCATTCCCAACTGCTGAAGCGCCCGCTGCTGCCGGAGGTGATGATCAACGAATTTAAGCCTGGAACCTTCGATTTTCCCCCCGGCGGTGGCGGTTTCCTCTTCCCCTAAGCTCTTGCTCGCCGCCTTGATTTGCCCCGTGATAGCGTCCTTCAGGCACCGGAACTGCTTCGAGATCGTCTGCAGCGCCAGCGCCGTGTAAGTCTTCGCCGAACCGATCCCCGCCGCTTGCTCGAACGCCGCTATCACCGTCTGCATCTGGTGGTGGTACTGCCGGTACCTCTGCTCCACCTTCCATCATCAACCAACAACAAGAAGAAGAAAAAAAAAATTATTCAAAATCCACAATTCAATTCGACTCGCGGAGAGAGAAACTAATTAATGACTAGTGTTGACTGTTGCGTACCTCATCGAGCATGCTGATGAGCTTGGCCTTCTTCATCTGAATCTCCTGCCTATCAGCGGTGGAAAGCTCTGGCGGCGCCGTGGCGGCATCACCGGCGGACGATTCGCCAGGCTCCGCCGCTTTGCTGCCGGCGGAATTGTTGTGATTGTTATTACTGGCCTTCTTGGACGCGGCTTCGGGGTGCTTGTTTCCGCCGTTGGTTCCGTTACCGTTACCGTCAGCGTTGACGTTGACGACTTGGTCGAGCAAATCCTGAGCGGCCTTCAAGTACTTGGAGCTGAGCAACACGCCTTGCATACCGGTGGTGGCGGCGGCGGGGGCCACACCGGCCGCCGCCGCGGAATTGGACGAAACCGACCCGCCCGGCACCACTCGGGTGTTCTCCTCGCCGGAGGAGAACTGGGAGCCGTACCCGGTCGCGGCGGCTGCGTGGTGGTGGTGGTGCTGCTGGGAGGAGAGGCTGAGGGAGAGGGCGCGTGGGGTGTCACGCGCGGAGGGGGAGAGGTCGGCGGCGGCGTTGTAGAGGTTGTAATGGAGGCGGGGGATGAGGCCCAAGTCGTGGTGGTGGTGGTGGTGGGAGTTGGGGTCCAGTGGGATGCCGACGAACTGCTGCTGCTGCTGCTGGTTTTGGTAGTGGTTGTGGTGGGGGGACGGCGGTGGAGGGGAGGAGAGGGGGTTGGCGGCGGCGGCGTTGAGGATGAGGAGGTTGTTTGGGTTTTGGTGGTGGTGGTGGGGCGGCGGCGGAGCGGTGTCGGTGGAGTAGTGGACGTAAGAAGGGTTCATGAGGACGAGGGTCTGGAGTCCCTCCGCCGCCGCGGCAGTTTGTTGGATTTCGGGATTGCCGTGGTAGTACGTCGCCATCGATGGATGGTGATTAGCAGCAGCCAATCCCGGGGCGACTGACACACTAGTTTGTGGATCTATTTTAATATATTATGATGTATCGGAGCTGCAAACAAAAGAAAAGGAGCAAATCAGGACCAAATTATATCATGTAAGTAAGGGAGAATCAAATTGGATGAGAAAAGAAAGCGTCAGAGAGAGAGAGCGCGCTTAACATATGAACAAAATTGATTAAAATAAGAAAATGAGTCATTCGTGCAGACAGGCAGAGAGAGAGACAGAGACCTTTGGGTTGGGTGAAAAAAAAAAGCTTTGTCCTTTTTATATTTGGGGATCAGCCCATCTCTGACAGAACAGATGAGAGAGCAGAGCAGAGAAAGATTTGGTAAAGGAGAGGAAGGAATTATATATCTATGGAGGGAAAACTTGTTCAACTTTTGCAGTGACTGGATATGAAATTTTATTTTATAGAGAGAAGAAGAAGCTGGGAACTGAGAGAGGGACTTAAGTAAATCGCAGTAATGGTTGCAGAAAAAAAAAACACGAAAAGAAGAAGAACACGTGCGTCATCAGCTACCAACTGTACTACTAGCTACATAATTTTGGCAATCATCATCAGCAGCAGGAGAGCAGACAGCAGCAGTAACTTCATCTTCATCTTCTTCTTCTTCATTACTAGCTACATGAGTCTTTAGTCTCTGTACTACAATTAAATTAAGCGATGCTGGGTGGCCACTGTGACGGCTAGAAAAACTAACTCAACCCCACATTAATTATGCTAATTAAGCGGCCATAGATGATGGAAGCTGCAGAGAGTGAGCAGTACTCTCCTCCTGCTGCTTACAGCCGTACTTAATTAATCCAAAAGAAAGTTGAATCGTTACCCATTTTGTCAGTTCCCTCCCTTGTAATACAGACAGACAGACATACATACTGTGCCATTTCTTAAGGGAAAAAAGGTTTATATGCAACTGAAACAGCATCCATGGCTACTTATATGTTATTAATTACCTGGAAATGGATCACCGAATGAAAGAGGTATCTAGCTAGCTCTGAAGTGTCAGTAGTGCTTGATTTGATTGGACACCTTCATATACAATTCGGTCTTCCTTTTCAAATCATTTGCTGATATGTATGTATGAGCTTATACCTTTCTTTCCTTCTCTGGGGATCCACAACAAGCCCTTTTTGTTTCACACAGAGACAGAGATAACTGTATAGAAAGAGAGAGGGGGAGAGAGAATTGTGGCTGTACAGGAACTCAGAGGAGAAGATGAACCAAGGGATACATCAAAAGAGAGAGAGAAGAAGAAGAAGAAGAAGAAGAAGAAGAAGAAGAAGAAGAAGGGAAGGAGAAGTGTTTGGTGACAGGGAAGATCCCAAGCCTCCTTCGCATCATCATCACAGAAAGAAAATATAATTAATAAAAAGGGAAAACTAGGAAGTGTCACTCTTCCAAATCCAAACCCATCTCCCCCACAACATAAAAATAATAGAAAATTTCAAACTCAGGAAAGACTCAGTTTTATGAAAGGGAGGGAGAGAAAATGAAGTGAAAGATGGAGAGGGAGGAAGAAAGAAGAAGAAGAAGAAGAGATAGATGGGATGACGACGATGATGGTGGTGGTGGTGGAGACGAAGATGATGGAATTATTAAGAGGGTTTGTGGGATGGGGCCCAATCAGCTTTTTCTTTTCTTTCTTTCTTTTTTATAAATAAAAATGAAAGAAAAGGACAGCACCACCTTTTCCTTGCCCTCCTTGTATTACTTGCCATTTTTTTTCAAAATAACAAATATCTCCTTGTCTCATTCTACACCTTTGCTTTTCTCTCTTTTGTTGTTTTTCTTTTTATATTATTCCCCCTCCTGTTTTTTTTTTTTTTTCATATAATACATGTATATGGCAATATTATTATTTGTGGTTTGAAGAGAAAGTTCAGAGATAAAAGCAAATTTAATTGATGAGGAGGGGGGAGGATGACAATATAACCAACCACCATTGCCTCCCTTATTAATGCTCTAAAAGCTTTCCTCTAATCCCCCTACTTATACATCTATAAACATAATTCAGACTCCAAATTAGGTCGAAGAAGAAGAAAAATTGCGTGATCATATCATCTCATATTAACTGGACACAATCGACTAATAACACATCCGGTTTTTATCCTGATTGTAATGACCAAATACAAATACAGATTTACTTCCAACAAATACAGTAATTTTGTAAGCGATCGATTGTCTTGTTCCAACCAGTTTAAGTTTTGTGACAGGCGCGTGGAGGAGGTGCGCTTCGTGACGGGCAGGGTCGCTTGTTAGGTGCTTTCTCAATGAATATGGGGAGATGTACGATCACTTGCGCGGAGCTATGGGGCGCACTACAGGGACTCCAGGCGGGGCATGGGATGCATGATACAAAAAAGTCGAGGTTCAGCTTGACTCGACGACAGCTACTCACCTCCTTTCGCCCACGTGTCCGACTAGCCATTAGCATGCTAATCTTGTTCTTGCTTTTCGGGAACTGTAGAGCAAGGACTGGGAAGTTAGAGTGCAGCATATTTACAGAAAGGCGAACTTCTTAGCCGATTGTTTAGCTCATAAGGGTCACCTGTTAGACCCAGGTTCTATTAGTACTTGCTTTTCTGATCCTGACATTGATCGTTAGCTTTTGTACGATTCGGTTGGCGATTTATTGTCCGCTCGATTTAGTAATCTGAGGTAATTGTGCTTGCACCCTTTAAAAAAAAAACTATAAGTTTTGTAATTTTAGCGCTCTAAGTTGTTAATGATCTAGAAAGGATGCTCTCCTATTCATTAATCATTATGCAGTGAATAAAACCCACTCAAATTAACGGATTAGTTATGTAGCTGGTTAATTACTTCCCCCTCGAATAATTTTCCTTGCACCAAAATTTAGTGCTAAATTATATGCAAGTACACAGATTATTTGAATTATAAAATTCAATCATTGGGGCCCAATCGAAATTATGTTCATGCATTTATTCTTACTAAGTAGGGCAAAGGACGACCTTTGTTAGGCGTGATTCTTAGTTTCTTACTGTGTTCCTTTCTGCATATAGCTATTCTTTCTTTCTTCTTTCTTTTTCTCACGCCTACGAATCAATAATTATGAAACAGTACTGTAAGTTATACACAAAATGTTAACAATATGATATTTCTCTACTAAAACTACGATTCAATCGTTTCATACCGTTAACACTACCTATCATTTAGGATTTGGGGTCAAATATTTTCAGTCAGATTGACAGGATATAATTTCTGAAACATTACTACAAACCCAACCCCAATCACCACCAAAACATCTCTCTGATGAACTTCCTTTCTTTCCCCTACCTCTTAACTGCCCTTTCCCCACTTTGTCCCTTCAATTCAGTCAGTACGGTAGGACTCTCTCCCAACCCCTCTCTCCAATAATAAATCACAACAATATAATAATAAAATTTTGACCCATCACACAACCAAATTATTCATTTTTCAGAAAACCTACCTTTTCTTCCATCACCATCACACCAACAAGAAAGAAAGAAAGAAAAACCAAACACACAGACAACAGTTTTCTCTTGTTTCTGCAAGAGGGAAAGAAGCTACATGGATTGGGTTTTGATGTTAACAGGAGTTGTAGTTGTAGTAACTGGCAGCTGCCAGCAGCCTTCTCTCTCAGTCTTCCATGTTCTATTCATGATGTTATATTCCTCTCAACACACCACCAAAAAATAAAAAATAAACAAAACCCTCTATGTCTGTTGTTGTTTAAAGATGGTTATGTCAGTCAGAAACTTTAGGGAATCCTATTAATTCCTTATGCTTTTCCTAGGACTGTCATATGATTTATGAAAGTGATCATCATGAGGGAATGTGATAGTAAAAAAAAAAAACAACACATTTGTTTTTCAATTGAATAAACAAACAAAGCAAACAAATATCACTGTCACTGAAAGCTGCCCTAGCCTGCTGCAGCTTTGCTACTATAAAAAGTGAGATTTTCTTTACCCAATCTCAGGGTTGGATCAATGCTCTCAGGTCTAAAGTGGACACTCTTTCTAACCAGAAAGATGAAAGAAAGCTACACAGACAACTTTTACATATACATCCATGCAGTTAAAACAAATATAGATAGTCACTGAGGAACTGACCATTGGGTCTTTGTTTGAGTCCTCCACATGAACATTAAATAGGTCCTTTTAGGCAGGGGGATATATGTCCTCTTATATCTGTGTTGTTTTGGTGTGTGTTTAAAAATTAAAAGTGATGAGGCCAGCAGTTGTGAAAATGGGAGCAGTATGTATAAATAATGTTAGCCCTGTTCTAAAGTCAAGACTATTGAATGTGCATATATATGGGTAATGGCAAACTATTAATACAACTATAAAGATATGTAGATTAGGATTGACAATAGGTTGATAGAGGTTATCTGTTTATCCTATCTTAACCCGTTCGGTTTTATTGATATCCATAAGATTAGGAATGGCAATGGGGCAAGTTCGTGGAGGGTATCTCAATACCCATACCCGTGACAGTGATATTATGGGTTATTTATCATTTTACCAATAATTCTCACACAATATCATTACTCTTGATCAGAGGGAGAGTGAAACTGGGTTGGTCCGCGGATTTGGGAGATTTGAATAATTAATTGAAGGTGTTAATTTATATTGTTCACAGAACTAAAAGCTCATTTTTTTAATAAAATTATACTCAATTGTAATTTATACATAAATGATATTATTTAGCATTTTAAGGTACTTGTTTATTAGGAAATTATAATTTATGATTTTTTTCTCTTTTTCACTAACTCTTTTCCTTGAAACTTTCTATCTTGCTTATATCCTCTTTTTTTTTTTTTTTGACGAGTGCTTATATCCTATCTTGCTTATGGCTCGTCTTTTTTGGATGTTGTTTATGCGAGGAGAAAGTTTTTGGGTGGCTTGGATACTCCACTTTGGACTCAAAGGACGACCTCTCTGGTATATACCTGCAACAGCTTCTGGTTCTTGGATATGGCGTCAAATGTTGAAGCAACGTGGTTGGTTCACATTTCGACTTGATGTAGATCAGAATGGGGTGGTGACATGGGAGGGAAAAACTATGCAGAGGTTTCCTTGAGCAGAGTCTAGGAGTCAATTCGAACTCATCATGCAACTGTACCGTGGTGGCAACTTATCTGGGGTCGCTATGTCATTCCTCGACATAGGATTATTGTTTGGTTAATTATTCTTGACAGGATTACAACCAAGACTAAGCTTCAGACATGGGGAAAAAGTGCAGATGCTAAGTGTGTGTTGTGCAATGCAGCAGATGAAACTCGAGAACACCTTTTCTGCCACTGTTTGTATACTCGCAATATTTTCTCTGCTGTTTCTCGAGATTTGGCACATCCCTGGGCGTGTACCTGGGAAAGCAGGCTTCGAGCAGCAAGTTCACTAGCACGATCTGGGGGAGCTAAAGGGCGAGTTGCAAGTGTTGTTTGGTGCTGGGTAATGTACTTAATCTGGACTGAGCGTTGTCGTCGCAGAGTTTATGGAGGCCCTTGCCTTGACTAGTAGGCGCTTTTTAGGAAATTACGAGAGGAGATTCTGCTTGTAGCTATGGGTAATAGAGCATTCTGTAGTGACCTGAATATTAGTCCTTTTTGGTTGTTGTTGTGAGAAGCTGATTTGCGGCTCTCTCTATAGACATACTATGTTTTGTCTTGTTTGTTCGGATGCTTGATCTTTTGATCAAGAGAGCTTCAAATAAAGTTACCAGCTTACCGGAAAAAAAATTGCATAAGTATGCGGAATCATAAATTATTATTTTGTAGGATGAATTGAGAATGATATCCTGAATAGTTGAACGATAATTACATTTTATAAGTTTTATCTTGATATGATTGAAACAATTGATAATAAAATTTATTTTATCAAACATTTTTTCTGAAAAAAAATTGACCCACCTTATAAATAATGAGTGAAAATATTGATAATATGATTGCTTTTTCTTTGGTAAACAACAGGTTGCAGCAGGATTCTATATTTTATGTTTGTTTTGAAATGAAATCATGGGATAATATTATACCTATCAGGAAAAGTTGGAGAAAGGGATTTCATATATTATAATTGACACAAATGGCTACAAATATTTTTTGTTTTTTGGCACTTAGCATCATTTGTTGATGTTAAGAGTTTGGTCTTCAAAATTCTATATATAATTATCGCAAATAATTGAATGTGGGCACCATGACCAGACCTAGCTTAGCTTGCTTTGCATGGAAAGGAACCTCCATAAGATGGGAGTGTCCTCATTCAATTGGACCAAGCTATATATGCAATTAAACTACTCCTAGGATCAGATCTGCCCTCTGACATTAATTAGCATATAATAATAATTTTATCCAGTTTTTTTTTATAGAGGAATCTGCACTTAATTTTATCCAGTTAAAAAACATTTATTTATGTAAATGAATAACAATCTTATGATAGCTGCTTACGCAGCCCACAGTACCTATCAGGCCTTTGGGTTTTGCCACAGATAACCATTCATGTACGTACACGGCATAAAACAATAACAATATTCCTTTTTTAAGGGAATTATAATATTCTAATGGCATAATTGAAATTGCCCCTATCAATAACTGTCTTGATTAAGGAGGAAGGATGCAGAAGCTTCGTGAATTTGAAAATTGAAA